ACCGAGCCACCTCTTGGTGGCTCGGTGGCCGAGCCACCAGGTGGCCGAGCCACCTGGCCGAGCCACAGCCCGGATCTGGGCCCAGATCTGAGCCCAGATCCGCTTTCAGATGCCTATAAATAGAGAGGTAGGCTCATTGTTTGAGGAGGGGAACTTTTTGAGGCGAAACTCTGCTTGATTGAGAGCTCAACTTTAGAGTTTTGAAGCTTTGAAGACTTGGACATTTTCAGATCTGGTTCTTGGCGATCAACCACGTCAAACAAGGCAGGAGTTCGAGAGAGAGAGATCAGATCTGAGATCCACACGGTTATCCTCCGGATCAAAACTTGGTTTTTGATTCAAGGTACCACAACTCCTTACGTCTTGTGCGAGGCGTTCCCTACATATAAATAAGTTGTAGAACCTTTAGGTACCCAAGCTTTGGGTCCTTGAATGTTAGTATTTTTGGTACCCTTGGGCACCCACATTAGTTCATAATTATTAATGTTATTTTTAATCCTACAATGAGTAGAGATATGACCATGTTTCATACAATATGTACACACAAACTTTTTCTTGTATGTAGGAGCATGAGATTTTTGATACCATTTTCTATTCACATAATGATGACTTGAATAACCATGATTAGATTTCATTTTATTGTTTTCAATTTCCAATCTTTCAACCTTAGATCTTAGTTGCTTATTTTCAAACTCTAGATCTCCTATCATTTCATCTTTTAGGGCAAGAGATGATTGTTGTTGCTCAAACTTAGAGTCACAAGAAATATGCAATTTTTTGAACGAGGAATATTCTTTTGCTAATCTTTTGAACTCAAAATTTAATTCTTCTAAAGCCGCTTCTAGCTCACATTGCATATAAATTGATTCACTCACTACCACATAATTGATCTACTGCAACAGTTAAGGCGCAACGGTTTTAACTGTTGCGTTAGAGATCTATCGTAACAGTTTTCAGTGTCTAATACAACATTTAATGAAAAATGTTGCCATAGACCTAATAATTATTCCTGGACTTAATAATTGTTTGTGGGCTTTGTTCAGGAGCTTTAAGTTTGTACAGCCCATTGTCCTCACTGCTTAAACGAAGAATATCATATCCGATCCCAAAAATCACCGTAAAAAAAAACCCTAAAATCGTCGTGGCCGTTTCCTCTCCGATCTCATCTCCAATCTCATCACTGAGCTCGTCGTTGTTTTCCTCTCCGATATCATCTCCAATATCCTCTCCGATCTCATCGTTGTCGAGCTTGTTGTCATTCTCGTCGTCGAGCTACCCTTGTTTCAGGTAATTTCTCCCTCCCTGTTTTCTAGGGTTTTCTCCAGAAATCAAGCTCAGATCTCGCTAACGGGAGCTTTCTAGAGTGTGTTTTCAGTAATCAAGCCCGGAAATTTCATCAATTTTGCAGCTGATGGCTGCATTCTCTTAAATGTCCTAGTCTTGCGTTTGAAGGGAGTTAGTCAGGTATTTTGCACGTGATTACTTTGAGTTTTTATGAAAATTTGATAGAAGTTTACGGTTATGCTATATATGGGATGTATGATTTTCTTAGTAACCCTCCTGTCTATAACTTGTGATCGTTTCCAAGATTAAGAAATTTGTTCAGGATTAAGAAATTTCATCAATTTGTTCAGTTATATGGGATGTATGATTTTCTTAGTAACCTTCCTATATATGTGATGCCCATCTTTTGTTCAGTTACATAGCATTTTTTTGTTCAGTTACAGTCCATCTTTTATTCAGTTACATAGCATTTTTTATACTATTATTTCCTTATAATGACTTGCCAATTTCATCAATTTGTTCAGTTATATGGGATGTATGATTTTCTTAGTAACCTTCCTATATATGTGATGTCCATCTTTTGTTCAGTTACATAGCATTTTTTTGTTCAGTTACAGTCCATCTTTTAGCATTTTTTTGTTTAGTTACAGTCCATCTTTTATTCAGTTACATTGATGGATATCCTACAGACTACCTTCTATAATTTGCTAACTTTTAGTTAAATTGCAAGTGAGGTTTAAATACTTTTTGGACCTGTTTAAAAAGAGAACATAAAGCATCTTTTAAGAAAATTGGAAACTGCAAAGAGGTGCACGCGCTGATTCTTGAAGCATAGTGAATTGGTACGCTAAAGGCAAAAAAATCTACCAGAAAAAGCGTAGTGCTTAATGAAAGGTAGAAACAATCATATTTGACACAATATAGCTTATTTGCGTTTGCCTGCACATTTAACTAAAAGTTGGCAAATTATAGATGGTAGTCTGAAAATAGCGATTTTTCTACTTGCGAGAAAAAGAAATAAATATCAGAGTGGCCCTCATTGGAATAAAAGTTTAGTATCTGATATTCTATTCAGAAAATCCCCTTAACATAATGTACCTTGGCTGAGCCTATTGACATATGATGCTACAAAATTGATTAAAAATTTTGATCCTAGATCTGCTGTATATCCGGTGAACTTCATGAATTTGATTTTTGCAAGATTTTCCCTAGTATGTATGATTTCTGCTTATTTGCAGATAATTTGAAATTTGAAAGCCCAAATCTGTAGTGAATGCCTACCAGGCTATATTTCCTCAAGGCCCTGCTCTGTTACTGAAGTTCCACCTGTCATCTTCAGACACTAGAGTCACTGGTCAATGGTATATAGTTGTTTTGTCAGATTTCATGCATATAATTTGTCACTTCTGATCATATTGCATGTGACCTTCCCCCCCAGTTAGATAGGATTTGTATATCTTTTTAGTCCAGTTACAGTCCAAGTTAATTATGGGATAACCTACTTTCATTTATAATCTTTTTTTTATTAAACTAGCATATGATCCGCTTACAAATACAAATCATGGCATGACAACCGTACGAATGTTAATTGAATATATTGCTATTAATGGTAACAAGAGGATTGATTTTTTATTTTATAAATCATAATATTTATATGTAGTTATTAATAGTGTTAATCATTTTTTCTTTCTCCAGAATATATAATAAATGGTGGAAAACAGAGATTGGGTGTATAATGCTCCTAGAGTGAGTGTGGAGTTCATTAATAATATCAATGACTTTCTTGAGAGAGCATTTGCTAATGGAGCAGTTGGGGATGAAATATGTTGCCCTTGTCGCATTTGCTGTAATCGCTTTTGGTATAGTCGTGATGTTGTTTATAATCACCTTATTGTCAAAGGATTTGTAGAGAATTATTATGATTGGTTCTTTCACGGAGAGGGTGTGTCATCAAGGATGGATGTTGATGACAATAATGAAGAAGTTGATGTTGCTGATGATGCTCAAGACAACCTGGATGGGTTATTGCATGATGTATTTAGAGATGTAGCAGAAGAGTCTCCAGTGAACCAAGAAGATGACCTAAGTGACCATGAAGAAAGGTTAACTAAGGAGGCTAAGAAATTTTATAAGTTAGTTGATGAAGGTAAGCAGCAGTTGTTTCCAGGATGTAAAACTTTTTCTAAACTCTCTTTTATCATCCGGTTGTATCTTCATAAGTGCATCCATGGCCTAAGCAACGAGGCATTTGATGATTATCTAGCCATATGGAGAGAGGCAATTCCTGAAATAAATCTACCAAAGTCTTATTATGAGGCCAAAAGAATTGTGAAGGATTTGGGCCTTGATTACAAGAAGATACATGCTTGCCCGAGGCTAAAAAAATTGTGATGGATTTGGGCCTTGATTACAAGAAGATACATGCTTGTCCTAATGACTGCATGCTTTATCGTGGAGAAGATGAAGAAAAAGTTGCTTGCAGTAAATGTGGTGAAAGTAGATGGAAGGCAAATAAGCAGGATGTTCCAGCCAAGGTTTTAAGATATTTTCCTTTAAAACCTAGAGTTCAAAGACTATTCATGTGTTCTCAGACTGCTGAATCCATGAGTTGGCATGCAAAAGAGCGCCTCCAGGATGGGAATCTAAGGCACCCAGCAGATGGCAAAGCATGGAAGGATTTTGATTCCAATCATCCTGATTTTGCACTAGACCCTCGTAATGTGAGGCTGGGCTTGGCTAGTGACGGGTTTAATCCATTTCGGACTATGAGCATTTCGCATAGCACATGGCCGGTGATCTTGATAAATTATAATTTACCACCCTGGATGTCTCTAAAGCCAGAATATTTCATGTTGTCTTTGCTTATTCCAGGGCCTCAGTCGCCTGGGAATAATATCGATGTTTACTTGCAACCGTTGATTGATGACTTGAAAGAGCTATGGGAAGTCGGGTTGCTTACTTATGATGCTTCAAGTAAACAACCATTTTATGTTCGTGCAGCTTTACTTTGGACTATAAGTGACTTTCCAGCATTTGCAATGTTATCCGGATGGAGTACTAAAGGGAAGTTGGCTTGTCCTTGCTGCAACTATGGCACTTGTTCGCAATATTTAAAATACAGTAGGAAAATGTGTTACATGGGTCATCGTCGATTTTTGAGTGATAATCATCCATGGCGGTTAAATAGAAGAAACTTTAATGGCCATGTTGAGTTAGGAAAAAAACCTGAATCATTATCCGGGATAGAGATTATGGAGGAATTGCGTGGCTTTGTTAATGACTTTGGGAAGAAACAAAAGAAAAAATTAGAAAAGGGCTGTCCATGGAAAAAAAGGTTAATATTTTTTGATTTGCCTTATTGGGAGCAGAATACATGTCGGCACTTGCTGGATTTAATGCACATAGAGAAGAATGTGTGTGATAATATAATTGGGACATTATTAGACATTCCTGAAAAGACGAAGGATCATGTTAGAGCTCGTTTTGATTTGCAGCATATGGGCATAAGAAGAGATCTACACCCAACCAAGTCAGCTGATGGTCGGCATTTTACATTCGCTAAAGCATGCTTTTCGATGACGATGGAGGAGAAAAAGATATTTTGTGGTGTGTTAAAAAATGCTAAAATGCCGCATGGTTGTGCATCAAATATCTCGAGGTGTGTCAATGTTAATGAGAAAAAAATATCAGGGTATAAGACACACGATGCTCATTTTCTCATGCAGTATTTGCTTTCAGTTGCTCTGAGAAGGACTATGCCTAGACGTGTTTCTATTCCATTAATCAGATTAGGGGCTTTCTTCAAGGGCTTATGTAGCAAAGTTCTTAATTTAAATGATCTTTATAAATTGCAGTCAGAAATTGTGGAGATACTTTGTCAACTGGAGAAAATATTTTTACCTAGCTTTTTTGATATTATGGTGCATTTGCCGATTCATTTAGTTCAACAAATTTTGGATTGTGGGCCAGTTAACTATTGTTGGATGTATCCGGTAGAGAGATATCTTTGTAGATTAAAGTCATATGTTCGCAATAGAAGTGCTCCTGAAGGTTCCATAGCGGAGGGGTATTTGGCTGAAGAGTCGTTGACTTTTTGCTCGTTATATCTACATGATGGTGTGAAGACAAGATTTAATAGATATACAAGAAAGTATGATGAAGTCATTGATGATGATGAGCCATCACCTATTTTTCCAAAGATAGGTCATCCAGTGGGCGGAAAGAGGAAAAGGAAAGGCAAAGCATTTGCATTGGATGATGTAGATTGGGTTAATGCACATAGATATGCTTTATTCAATTGCGGTAATAGGGAAGTTGGGGAGTATATTAGGTATACTTTATTTATTAAATCTTTATATATTATTTTTTGTATTCTTTAAATTCCACTATATAACATATTATGTTTGTTTCTTATTAATACAGAGAGCACAAACTCTTGATTGAGAATCAACCGAGAAAACGAGGTAGAAGAAGAAAATGGGTAGAAGCTCAAAGGCATAGTAAGGATTTTCTTGTATGGTTTAAAGACACCGTGGCTGAATCTCAATCAATACCCAAATACATGAAGTTTTTTTCGATGGGTCCCAACAATATCGCCAAGAGATATAGAGGATATTATATTAATGGCTATACTTTCTACATCAAAGCACGCGATGATACATGCAAAACTCAAAATAGTGGTGTTTCTTTATTAAGTGAAGTGGATAGTTATACAAGCTCTAGGGACCATAATCCTATAACTGCTAAAGTGTCATTTTATGGAGTCATACAAGATATCATTGAACTAGACTACTGGGGCAATTTTAGTGTTGTTTTGTTTAAGTGTGATTGGTTTCAGCATGACACGGATGAATATGGGCTTACTCGTGTAAATTTTAACAACAAATGTCATACAAATGATCCTTTTGTGATGGCATGCCAAGTGCATCAAGTTTTTTATGTGAAAGACCCTGTTGAAGAGGTTAATAAGAATTGGCATTATGTTTTGAAGATTCCAAGCAATGTGTTTGAAGATCTTGGTGTCACTCATAGCGATCAATATTGGGTCGAAATCATGATAACGAAATGGATTCGATGGCAAGCATTAATGATGATGATGCAGATAATATTGGTTGGTGTAGAGATGGTTTGCCGAGATCCATTGTTGACATTCCGCCAAACATGGAGGAGCTAGAAGATGAAAATGAAGGAGAATCAGAAGGTGGAGATCAAGATGAATCAGAAGGTGGAGATCAAGATGAATCAGATTAGGATTGGACGGAGGATACTCCTTAATTTGTCTTCAATACCTTCTACTTGTGTCAAGATTAGAATTGGATGTGTTGCTTATTTTATTAGGGACATTTGTGATTTTATTAGATTTTGGACCTGAATGTTTGTTTGGAGTTTATGCGGTTAAAATGAACCTGATATGGATCTATCTAGTTAAGTGCTTTTATGATATATTTTGTCAATTAGTTTCTACTCACTAGATTTTTTCTGATAAAGTTTTATGTTCTTTTATTTTTTATATATAATTGCTGCTTATATCCTTCATAACCTAATCAATGATATACAAAGTTTTTGTTGTTGCTGTATGCTTGTATGTACCAAAGATATGAAGAAACCTTTAGTTTTTTCATATTAATACTATTAGTCTTGGACTCTTTCATCTAGCTTGGTATCATATAAGCTCAATCTTGAACACCTGACACTTCAGTTTTTATTATCTATTTTTCGTGTATCTAGTACTTATGTGATTCTTTTCATTTATTACTAGTTAATCACTTCTCTTTGAGCGATGGAAACAGTGGGTGATTCTAGATCAAGTTCAAAAGAGAAGAGATCATTTGAGGTAAATTCTTTCATTTATTTTGGCTTCAAGCATCTGGTAGAAATCTCTCGTCATTCTTAGTTTTTACTTCATTATCTTTTCAATGCTTGCAAAAATGCAGATATAATAGAGATAGAACATCAAGAAACCTGTTGAAGTTTTGTGCATAGTCTTGTATAGATATATGTATGCATCTGGTGCGCAATTATCTGCTCTATTCACATTTCGATGCATGTAATGGAATTGATGACTTAAATTGTGTTACAGTCAAAATTTTTGTTTACCTTTTTTGTAATTATTTTTAAATTAGAAATTTTAATTTAGCATTGAAGGAAGAAAATTACAATTTACAGTATTCAAAAAAAAAACTAGCTATGCGACTTGGTTGGCTGTTATCTCTTCATTTGCAGTAATCATCATCATGTTTAAATTTTATTGTGGAATGAAGACCACTGGTTGTAATTTCTTGATGCATTATTTATGTATTTATTTATCAACAAGGATAAGTACGAGCCTACTGAACACTTCCTCTAGATTTGGACCCTAGATCACTGGTCTATCTTGCTTGCTCTGTATAACATTCCAAGATCCTCTTGCTTGAAGTATTCATGATTTTCTTTTTCAATTTTATTGTGGAATGAGCATTAGCCTTTATTTTCAATTTTATGGAGAACAAGCATGAGAAATAAATACAAACTGTTCGAATGTCTTCTTCAGGATTGATCTGTGATAGAGTCTTATAGCTTAGACGAGTCTTTAAAAGTAGATTGAGTTGAAAGAGTGGTATTGTGCACTGTTTTCTTTACTTTGGAGCAGATCAAAGGATGAGTAAGTCTCCTCTTAAGTTAGTTCTTCTGTTATTGCAAAAGAGAATCTCATAGATACTATTAGTTATGTTAAGAGTCCATTAATATTTTGATCTATGTAGATCTGAATTAATTATATATTTTTTGGACAGGATAGTACAGTGGTTAAGGGAAGAGTTTGATATGTTAGATGGTGTCAACTGTCAACTTCACCTAAAGTTATGGTTTGATTGATGATGGAAGAGGGAAGAGGTGACGAAGTACGCTTGCCTCCTGTGGGTTGTTTTCGGTTAATTACATAGTGATTTCATAGTGATTTCAGTTAATTATGCAAAATTTTTATTGATTGTAGTGTTCAATTAATTACATAGTGATTTCAGTTATAAAACTGACAATAAACTCATTTCATATTCTTCTTTTTTCATGTGTGATCGCATTCTATAGGTCATGAGCAAACCTCTTGCAAAGAATTTCTATGGTAAATAAGTCTGCAGCCTAAGCAAGAATTTCTTATTTTGTAGGTCATGAGCAAACCTCTTGCAAAGAAGCGTAAAAAGACCTTTTATCCTCCTCTACATGTGACAAATCTTGCAAGGATGAATCAATCCAAAGCCTGCAGCCAACAACTTGATGGAAGCAATGTACCAAGGATGAAAATGAAGCAGAAATCGCAGTGTCATAGCCAACAACACGTTACAAGCAAGTTGCGAAAGCAAGTTCAGAGTGTAGATGTGCAAATGCAAAGGACAAAACATCTTGGAAAGAATAATATGCAAGTGAAGACTCGATCAGGAAAGGCACGGAAAGATCCTCAGAAACTTGATAAGAACAAATTGATGGAGAAAGAGAAAGTGTTAGAGAATATTATTTTATGGAGTTTGACCATGAGGTGATAAGGGAAGTTGAAGAGAGAGAGGTCAATGTAAATGAGGAGATAAGAGAAGATGAACAGAGAGAGGTCGACGAAGACGAAGATGAAGAGATAAGGGAAGATGAACAAAGAGAGGTACAACAGCCCAAAAATCATAGAGGGCCAACTAAATGTTTAAAAGTACATGGACGAGGCATAGAGGCACGTCCAGTTGTAATTTTAGACAAATTTGGAGTACCTATTAGACCGACAGACAATATCTTAAATGAACTTAGTAGTTTTCTGGGTACCATTGGAAGAAATCCAAGACGAACACCACTAGATAAGAATTGGCATGACATTGGGGAAGAAGACAAAGATAGTTTGTGGGAATATGTGAAGGTATGATATAGCACAAAAAAATCATTTTGTGTAATGACAAGATAGATTTTAACTTGTATGTTGTTATGTCATTGTAGGAGAAGTATTCAATTGCCGATTCAGGACGAAAATGGACCTTGCAAACAATTAATAGTGCATGGAGGCGGTGGAAGTGCTTGTTGAAACGTCAATGCTTTACTAGTTTGAAAAATGATGGAGAAAGATGGAAAAATCGCCTCAAGACTGTTCCCAAGGGTCAATTTAGAGCTTTACTAAAGATTTGGCATTCTCAAAATGCAAGGGTAAGAATTTAATTTTCTATTAATATCATTGTTTTGTTTCTCAAATTGCAAGGGTAGAAATATTTAATTTATTATTTCAGTTTCAAACACAATGTTAAGAAAATGATTAGTGGGATATTACGTTTAGCCATTAATCATCCAAAGTTAAGGGTGGTCATATTACGTTTAGCCATTAAAAAGCAATGGAATCAGGATATATTCACGCAACACACAGATGGTCCTATTGCATAAAAACCCAAAAGCCCCTTGATCCATAATTCGCTCGAGCTTGAAGTTGACGTTGAATACAAATACTCGTTGAGTTCTTGTAGGTATTAAAGATTTTTATATTAACAATTGGAATACTTTAATGCAACTTACTTATACGATTCTCAGCGTGTATCAAGTCATGCTGACTTATTAAACATAATGTTGTCTTGATGCATGGTTGGCTTTAACAGTTGTGGTTGCTCTCTAAACTAACATGCTTAGGTCTTTGAGTACAGCTACTCATGAATACAAAGTTTATTATGATTTGCCAAAGCATCATAATTTTGTACACCAGAAACATTATTTAATCTAGGCAAATTGTTGAATTCCCAACTAGTGGATTTATAGCTCCATAAGTCAATTAGATAAGATCATTTTCCAAGGATGCACTATGAAACAAGTATTTACTGTCACCTTTATTACAGGTAATTACGATATTCTATGTAAAGAACTTAAAAATTATTGATCTCCTTTTTTCTGCAGAGATAGATATTTATATGGGTAATTATGAATTAATCTTCTGCTTGTACCAAATTAACAATATCCATTGGAATTTGTTTTTATATCTTAACCTGAAAAGCTGCAAACATAACATGAATCAGTTCTATTGCTAAAGTTCCAATCACTTGCTTACCTGAACTTTGTTGTGATTTGATTTTAAACGATAGAAAGAAGAAACAGCCTTGAGGTTGTATATTTAGAGCATAACTGAACTTTGTTGGTGAAGTACATAAATTTAGTATGTTGCGCGCAATTTAGAAGGCAATTTAGTATCTTTGCATGCATGAAACTTTTTCTACGCCTGATACGCTCAACTCTATCCAGTTTTTGCATATTTAGAACACTACTGAACTTTTCTGCTGAATTACATGATTAGGTTCATATGCTGCATCTAAAGTCTATATAGTTTTATTTTAAATTTGGAAAGGCTATATCTTTGTGAGCATAAAGAATTTTCTGCCTTCTACTTTCCGAATTGTAGTTGCTCCGCAAGTGAATTTTATTTATTCAATTTATATCATTTATCAGTACACAGCAAGTCCCACAAAGTGTAGCCCCAAAGTAAGGTTCAAGAATTCGCAGAGATATGGTAATGATGATGTTTATCTATGATTTAGACAGTGCATGAATGGCTAAGTGACTGATATGTTGTTTTGTTGTAGGAAAAGGAATTGAACCGGCCTCCAACAGATGCAGAAGTGTTTCTAGAGACTCGTAAAAAGAATAAAAAAGCACAACCAGAAAAAAACACTTGAAATGATTGATACATTGGAACAACTAACTCAGGAACAAACTGAAGGAGAAAGTGTAGATGCATGGCATCTAGTCAATAGAAAAGAGCATCCTGGACGTGTTCGTCTTCGGGGAAGGGCGATCACTCAAACCATGCTAAAAAGCAATAAGGAGAAGACCATTGATCCGTGTGATCAAGTCCCTGAGTCAATTGTTCAAGCAATAACAAAGAAGGTGGTGGCCACTCAACAAGAGGAGATGAAGAAACATCAAGAAGCTCAAGCTGCAAGTATGATTCAAACATTTGCAGAGATGTTGAGTGAAGTAACTGGACGTTCGGTTAGTCCAAGCTTTGTTGAGAGGTTTAAAGCACGTACTAGACTTCCTGAAGAGGCTGCCAGTGGTCTAGATCATGATAGTGCATGCTCTTTGCAAACACACAAGAGTTGAAGGTAAGTACCCTTTACATGTATGTTACAATCTGTTTTTTTTTGGCATATGGCTTTCGGTTTTTGTTTCTCTTGGTTTTTATGGCCTGGTATTGGTTTTCCCTGTGTTGGAGCTTGTTTACTGGCCTTGGTTTTGCTGGAAGTGGGTGTTTTGCATTCAGAAATCACTGTAGCAGAGGAGTTTTATGAAGTTTTGTTTTCTGTTTTGTTTTCTGGTTTGTTTTCTTCGATTTCCTATTGCCTGGACTTAGGATTCAGAAATCACTGTAGCTGGAAGTGGGTGTTTACTGGACTTGGTTTTCTAGTTATTTTCCCAATAAAAATTACTGTAGCAGTGGATATATTCTCAAAGGGACTTGGCTTTCGTGGTGTTTTTTGGCTTAGCCTTCCCCAGCGGCTGCAAACTTTGCTGGAAGTGGGTATATACTTTTGGTTTTGTTCAGGAGCTTTTGTTCATAACTTAAAAAGTCTTTTGTAATAGTTCTATGTTTTTATAAAAAAAAAAGTACCCTTACACATAATGACACTTGCCTCTGTTCATAGCTTTTTTACCTCTAATTCCGAGTTTAATATTTATTATGTTGTGGATCCAGTGACTTTAGATTCAAGCATCTCAACTAAAAGACAATCTTTTCCTTTTTTTCCTTTTATTTTATCATAGTTATCTACAGAATGCAAGTCATGTGCCTTATCTACAAAATCATAGAGGGGGGAAGGAAAGCTTACATTCATTCCAACATCAAGGTTGGGGACTATACTGATTCATATACTTTTTCCAGGTCAGCAGTAGTTTTTCCACATGATTAGGCACCGTCCTTATCTACAAAATCATAGTCTTTTTTTTAGTAATGGGATTTATTAGTGTCTTTCCTTGTTTCAATTAGTTTTTTCAATGAGTAATGGTCATTGCCCGTCTTTGATCTTGGCAAGGAGTATAGTCATTATATTTGTCATCGCAAGGCTTGAAAGCCTGGACACTTGAATCAGAGAGGTCATTTGGTTTGGAGTTCCTCTCACAAAATCCAAATTAGAATAACATGGGGATCGATCAAGGGCATCAGATTCATGATGAGTCAAGTAAAAAAGGAAAAAAGAAGCAGAGACCTTTCGGTTTTTTATTGTCTCAGGTCATCAAGCTCATAATACATGTAAAAGGCTCACTACTTGCCTAACATTTTAAAAGTGATCGATCGAGCAGCTATGATTCGATAAATCTTAAGCATATTACCCCACATGCAATAATAAGTCTTATTAACTTTTACATTACATCAGCTATCAGCTAGCTAGCTTGTGTTCTTAGAAAAGAAGAAGGAAAAGAAAGCATATGTAAATTTAATATGAACAGAAAGGAGAAGTGACACATGCACCAGCATACGTCTAACCAAACCAGTCTGTATTTGACCTATGTTATTTACGCTAAGATGAGATTTGGAGTGACTGACCTGTGATGATACACCTACCAACAGATTGCTAATTAAATCCACATGTTACTGGCGATACTCCTTAAAATTGGTTTTTTGTTTTTCTTTTTCTATACCTTATATGTTAGGCGTTTCATCGAATGAACTTCCATTTCTTATGCCTGTTCAGAAAAGTTTCTGGTTTATAATATAAGTTGCATCATAAATAGAGACCAGCTTCAATCTTTCTTAACCCCTCTGGATAAGTAATTAAGTAATTGATATTCTTCAATGTCTGCTATTGTTAGTTATATTTAATTGTCAATATCCTGTAGCTAGCTAGTTAGTACTGCGCATATGCTTTCTTTTCCTACATACCTTTGATTAATTTCTCTTTAACATTTTCTTTAGTCTCATTTGAATGCTTCAAAATATGATTGGTTAAAATTCTTAATTTATCACGTTGACATTTTCAGCTTATAAATCATGGGGTGCCCGATGTCGTGATCAAATCATTGAAGGCTGACATTGAAGAATTTTTCCAGTTGCCCTTAGAGGAAAAGAAAGCATATGCACAGTTGCCCTTAGAGGAAAAGAAGGCTACGACCATGCATTTGTTGTCTCAAAGGAGCACGACCGCTTAGTTTCATTAATAGTATGATAGCTAGATTCTGAGTTGAAATGTTGGTAGTGTGGATTTAATATTTTGTAGTTTTTATACTATACTACTGAATGTT